TGGAGATCATGAATATAGAAGGAAAAAAATAAAATAAATTGAAACTATAATAATAATTATATATAAACATTTGGCCTATTAGTTACACTTGTTTTTAGATGGTTTTTAGATGGACCACTTATTTGCATCCATATTTAATATGGATGCTTTATACCTCTGGACCGCATATTGTAAAAATACGGTCCAGACCGCATGAAACAATTTTCCATGAAAATTGATTTGTAGTTTGCATGTCATGACAATAGTAAAGCATTAAAAAATAAATTAAGTCCAAAATATCTTACCTCGAAAATTAAAATTTTATTAATCTAAAATTTCTTATTGTCCAATCCAACATTACATCGTAGCAACATAAAAAAAAGCCAAAAATTATTAGCTAATTATTAATTCAAAAAACAATACCTTTTTGCATGGCTATTGAATAAAATCATAATGTATTCATCTAAAATCATATAATCACACCACCTTCACCCTCAATAGATCCATTTTTTTCTAATATTGGTTCATCATACACCACATTAAGAGGGTCCATATATGTTGTTTTTATTGATGTATGCCTTTCAATATTTGCATTGATTAGATTTATAAGCATCACGCTTTCTCGTGAGCAATCTTAAATTACTACAAACAAATACAAGCTATCAAAAACATTTAATGTTAAAAATTTGGGAGAGGGGCAAGTACTGCACTTTGTAGGGCAAAAATACTGCAAACTTTAAAAATTATCAAATACAAGTATAGACATCCAATACTTGTAAAACTCAAGTGAGATAATACAAAGTATAATGATCGAAATTAGTATATTAAATAAATTAAAATAGAAATTGATTATTGCTATAAATGACAAAACAATATAATCAACAAAAATGGTGTTATATGAAAAAATTGAGAAGGGAAGAGGAAACTTTGAAGAAGATTCATGGGTCCACCACTTGGAGGAGGAGAAATCAAGACTTTGAGAGAGAGAAAAACCTTAAAAGATTTATTTGTGCTTCAAATAAAAGCATATTTAAGAGTGGCAATAGACTCGGGACCCAACGTTCGGACCGGACCTAGGTTTGGGTATGGGTCCAAGTATTGGACCTAAAAATTATTCGGATCCAGGTCTAAGGTATCTAACCAATAATATTTAATAATATTGAGTTAATATTTAAATAAATATAACTATATATTTTAATTATAATATTCAAATAATACATTAATATATTTAACCTAGCATTTAAATTTATTTAAATATATATATTTATTTTTGGGGCACGTTTGGTAGGGTTCGGGTATGGGCCTGGGCCTTGGTCGGATAACTTCATGTCCGAATCTGGCTCAACAAGTTGCAATCCCTAATACAACCCTAGGTAAGAAAAAAAAATATTTTATTTTAATTATTTTTAAAAATTAAATATTTGTATTTTTTAAACCAAATATTATATATTGAATAATGATAATTCTAAACTTAGAATACTAGCGTACCAGTGGATACCCACTGGGGTTTCGGTCTTAGTGAATAGCTTTGAAACAAATTCCAGCGCATTATTCAAACCATGAGATAGAATAAATACAGCCTGGACCCAACTTTCTAGGCCTTTTTAAACCGGAGCAATGATCCAAAGCAACAATTGTATTATAGTATAATGCAATGTTCTTTCTAAAAATCGTGTTTGTGATATTTGTATGACTCCAAATTTTACACACACACTTTATTTATCTCAATAATCAATCCCCTCCAAAAAAAGTTCAATTTGAACTTTAGATATGGTCAAAATGAATCCCTTTAAAAAACGAATTTAGACCATTCATTTTGTAAATTTCAATATCTTAGCCTTTATAAACTCGAAATCATTTTTTTTCTTCTTTAACATTGTTCATTTAATGATAATAAAGCCATCCAAAAAAATTGAAAATGAAAAAATCTTTCTAAAGTCTAGATATAAACATCTCACCAAAATGAACAACCTATTTTATTGGGCTAAAAAAATACTTTATAGGTTGTGTTTTTAATTTTTTCATTTTTTTGCGATTGTTCATTAGAATGAAAAAAATGTATATTTCAAAATTTGGATCAAACAATTTCTTTTAAGGTTGTTACATCATATTACAATACAACGGTTGCATGGAATCATTGCCTTTTAAATCGGGTGCAGTTGGCATACGGATGCATTCGTACAGAGGAAAGGTGAACCTTCAAATTTTATCATGGTATATAATTTTGATGTAAAATGTTTTTAGGATTATCTCAAAATATATTTTTATATCTAATTATAAAATTTTAAATTTAAAAAAATGGTTAAAATCAAGTAGATCTATAAACATATGAAAATCTTGAAATTTGAAAATGGACGGTGTAGATAATATGTTGTAAAATGCATTATTTATTAGACTTGAAATCTTTTTATTTTTCATGGTCATACATCTCAATGTCGAGATGATCAATCAAAGGGTTTTTCAATATTTAAACTACCTTTTCCGATGGATTTTTTAGGTACATCCGTAGTTCTACATTATAAGGTTGCATCTTTATATAATCTTTTCCTTTTAAACGGCATCACAACCCATCATTGTCTTTTTTCATCCAGCCCCATGTAAAAGAGTATCTTTATGACAAAAATCCTCTTTCGAAACGCACATTTATCTTTGTTTTACACAATGACATTGGTCCTGGCACACACTGTGTCGGATCGAGTTTTGATCTCTATTGAAGCCAATCTGCTTCTTGTCTCTATTGAAGTCAGTTCGACATACATTGTGCCGCACCAGCTAATGCTATAAAATTTACTTCGCTTTGGCCGAAGCTTTGGGATATTAAGCATAAATCGAAGTGAAGAGAAGCAACGCTTCGGTTAGATTCGGGCCGCTTGGGCTGCTTCAGTCAAGCTTCAGGGTTCTTCAGTCATAAAAGAAGTACCTATATACAAGTTTTTTTATTTCATTTTTTATTTTTATTTTTTTCATTATTTTTATATATTTTATATATAAACATCTAATTTTTCTATTAATTTTTTTTTTAAAAGGTCCAAAGTCTTTTCCGAATCTGCTGAAGAACTAAATTGCTTCATTTTTTTCACCAAACTGAAAAAGACTCTGAAGTGAATCTGACAACATTGAGACTTGCTCTTAGTCAATTTTATGCAGCCTCTTCTTTCTTTGCCACATATATTTTATATATAGATATCTAATATTTTATTATTAATTTTTTTTTAAAAGGTCTAAAGTCTTTTCCGAATCCGCTGAAGAACCAAATTGCTTCATTTTTCTCACCAAATTGAAAAAGACTCCGAAGTAAATCTGACAACATTGACACTTGCTCTCAGTCCATTTTCGGCGGCCTCTTCTTTCTTGTCCACAAGTGTTCACCTATCCAGCGCCACGAGAACTCGAGGAAAAAAAAATCCCAAAATAAAATATCTATGTATGAAAAAAAAAAGAAAAAAAAAGCTTCAAGATTGAATAGATCAGCGCGTTTTGACAGAGGGATATCTAATATTGAATAAAAATTTAAATTTGAAAGGCTAAATCTAAGCATCACAAAACTCAAATTTCAAATTTTATAATTTAAAAATAATCACCTGAGTAATTACTATATAGTTCACCAAATTTTAAACTAAAAATTGAACGCGTTTGACATAGGAAGCAAATGCACAATGTGCTCCCGTAGTAGCCCATTGTAATTTTGAAAAAAAATTAGGGATTGTATATAATGAGACCATTTACGTTTGATACAAAGGTGGTCACAGTTATTCCCAAACATCTGATGTAAATTTTGATAGCTTGAATGTGTCATAAAGTCCAAAAAAAATTTATTTTGAAGTTTAAGCTTGATCAATAGGATAATTGCAGCCACCCAGTTTCACATCGATTGTCAAAATTAATATGACTTTTTTGTATCAAAAGTAAATAATCTCATTATATACTTTCACAAAAATAAAATAAAAGAGCAGCGTATATGTAATTTTGTGTATTTTTATAATAAAAAATAATTATTTTATTACGAGGTGGATGTAAAAATAATAGTATTAAAGTTAGTGATGCGTTTTGCAAAATTTTGGCTAATTAGTGCGGTTCCCAGTTAGATATTAACGGAGTATCTATAATTATTTCCAATAAATTAAGGCTTAACATAGTGGAGGGAAGGTGCTTGGAATCTCCCGCTGCACCTTACTCTCTCAGCAAGAGAAAGGTTGGATTCAGCGTGAGAAAGTGCTTCTTCGGCGTCGCAGGGGAGAAGGCGCCTAAGCGAGGAGAGAGAGTGCTCAAACCGGCGATGGCCTCTGTAGTCCCATGTTTCATTGTTTTCTCTCTCATCCTCTCTGGAGTTGCAGCTCATATCTATGGAGACCCAATTGCTGAAACCATGGCGGCCGTCTCTGGCTACCCATCTGAACCCACCTCCTGCAGTGAAAACCATCACCAACCTCTGTTTGTAGACAGAGAAAGCTTGCAACGCCAGGTTAGAGAGAGAATGAGGGAGACTTGTTGCAATTGTTTTTCTTTTTCATTTTGATATTGTACTTGACCTCTAGAAATTGTTTTCCCTTTTCAGTTGTTGTTTTCAGTTCAAATCTCGAAATGAATCTTTCACTTCATTTGACAATTTGTCACTGGGTTTTTCTTAATCCCTATGAATTTTGATATAAGTTCCTTCCTACTGCTTCTGATCAACTCCTACAGTAAAAGTCAATTTAATTCATACAGAGTTTACTGTTACCTTATTTCCTGTTAAAAAGATATTGTTTCTTAACAGGGGAGTGTTTTCTAAGGTCTTTTTTTTTTACTAGAAATGATGCTCAATTGGATTGTGTAAATGGATAATTGATGTGTTACCTTTTGGAATGGCTTTAAAATTTGAGGTTGATAACCATTCAATTGTCTCAACTGGATGTTGCCACATTTTTTTTTTAGATTGATGAGCTATCACAATTCTCGGATGCCCCATCCCCGGCTGTAACTCGCGTGCTTTATAGCGAGAATGATATTTCAGCTCGAAGGTAACTTTTTTAATCTCTATTTGAAAGTATACATAGATTTTTCTTTTGATGATCATCTATCCTATTTGATCATTTTTATTACATGAACTGAATTGCTACTTGACATCTGGAACTAGTTATGTTAAATGCCCTTTTTATGTCGCATTTCATACACTCCTTGAGATTGAACTCTTCTTTACCTTTCTAATTTTAGGTACATCAAGGATCTTATGAGACATAGTGGACTCTCTGTTAGAGAAGATGCTGTCGGTAACATATTTGGTCGTTGGTGAGTTCTGAAAGTTCTGTAACTGAATGGCCTATTTTTACTCATATTCTGATATGCAATGTCTTAGTAATCAGGAAGTCATGTTTTATATTTCATTCAATATCTGACCAAGCTGCATATTTTCAAAAGTGATTTCAGTTTGGTAATAGATGTGTGATAGTATTCGTTCTAGAAAAACTAAAATGGTTTTGGTTTGTGATCTTCGTACTTCATGAATTTTGCAGGGAAGGTTCTGAACCCGAGCTTGCAGGTGTTGCAACAGGGTCTCATATAGATGCCATTCCTTACTCAGGGAAATATGATGGAGTAGTTGGAGTTTTGGGTGCATTGGAGGCAATAAATATGCTAAGAAGGTCCATATTATACTTGTAACTCGTTCTATTTCGCAAATACGGTAGTTTTACTTTTCTCTTTATTGCTGGAGAAAATAACTATAAAATAGATATATGGGTGTGTTCAATGATTGCACGCTACTTGGTTGCTTGGCAAGAGAGAAAATTACATACAATGCACTGTACGGTGTTTGCTGTCTTTGGGGCAGCAGTGGTTGAGGAGCACCTGTCTGATTGCAAGAAGATAAGTTGCAAACCTTCAAAAATTGAGCAAGAAAGAAAAGAAAAAATGGAACAAGCAAAAAAGAAAATGGATAAAGGAAGATGAAGATAGTAAAAGCAGGAAAAAACATTTATGTTTTTAAATAAATCTATCATGCCCTTGTGATCTGTAGAATGAAATGCATTAGGTATTACTTAATGTTGTGTTGGAAATGTAAAATGATACGCACTGAAGATAAGGGATTAGATTTTATATTTTTCCGCATTTTTTAACCATATTAGAGTAAAATAACTTGTTGCATTTTTTTTTTTGAACTCAATGGTGACCATTTTTCAATGATCTTGTGCTAGTCAGAAATATGTCCATGCATCTGTCCATGTACATACATACTTCAGAATAGCTCTAGGAACAAATAATCTGAAATCTAATTGGAACAGGTTTCTATGTTTGTTATTACTACAATGAAGTTGATAAAACAAAATATGGTATCGTGGGATTTATTGAACGATGTCTCACATTAATTACTTGGCAGATGGGGTTTCCAACCTAAAAGATCATTGGAGGTGATAATGTTCACTTCGGAAGAACCGACCCGCTTCGGTATCAGCTGTTTGGGAAGGTCTGTATTACAAATTTCTTCCTTGTAGAACAAACCCTTGCGGTTTCCAATTTCAGTCATTGCGTTTTACACAGTGCTATTTCTCATATCACTTGGTGGGAAGTGTGCTATATAATACAGTGGGCTCTTGAAAACCCATGGTTGTTTTGCGTATACACTGTCTATTAAGTTATGGGGATGATAAAGAATTGGTATCCACCATTTGGGATCATTTCTTCCTCTGGTGGGTCTCACTCTCTCTTATCCACCACAGCAGTGGATGGTGATGGCCCACTTGACTATGGTTATATCACAGTTCATAAATCATAATGTACTTTCCCATCATTGAAATGGAACGTAAAAAGCCTTGGTGCTTTTCTAATTGCCTTGAGACGCTAATAAAAATTCACTTTTCAGTCGTTTAATGGCAGGAAGTGAAGCTCTGGCAGAGGCTCTTAAAGTGACATTTGACAGTCAGAATATGTCTTTTTTTGATGCTGCAAAATTTGCTGGTTATGCTAATGATGGGCAAGACATTTCAACTGTGTTTCTAAAGAAAGGAAGTTACTTTGCCTTCTTAGAGCTACACATTGAACAGGGTCCTATACTAGAAGAAGAGGGCAAGAATTTCTGAACAAACTTCTCTCTTTGATGCCAGTATTCCAGTTTTCTTCAAGGCCCTTTGGTTTTGAAGCATTTTCTTATGCATGATCTTTGAAAATCAGGTGTTCCTATTGCTATTGTGACTGCTATTGCTGCTCCTGCTAGCATGAAGGTGGAATTTAAAGGTAATGGAGGTCATGCAGGAGCTGTGCTTATGCCTGCTAGGTAAATACACTTTTATGGCTTCTGCATACACTTATTTCTACTAGCTAGGGTTTTAGCCAGTTAGGTTTGTGGTTATTGAAGTTCTCAATTTTCTGGATCTCTCTCTCTATCCAGCAGCACTCTTTGATGATTACTTTCTATTGAAATTGTGAGAAATTTTTTTTGGTGTCATGCATTTTTTAGTAGAATAACAATGGCACTTCATCTTATAATCTCGACTTCATTTTAGCAAATATTGGCCAAGACTCTTCCCTATACTCTCATCATAGTGAACAGAAATGATGCAGGCTTGGCTGCAGCAGAGTTGGCCCTAGCTGTCGAGAAACATGTATTAGAATCTGGATCCTTGGACACTGTTGGCACTGTAGGTATGGAGCCTTCTTCTAATGCATAGTTAATAAATTAATTTTCTCTGAAGCTATCTACTCAGATAGTTATCTTTTTAAAGAAATCTATGTACTTGTTTATTTGGTTGCACTTGTGTATACCAATACTTATTGCGCTTATTGCTTCGTTGGAGGATACGGTTTGTGTTGTCATCTCCATGTGTATTCTAATGGCTTCCAGAAACACACCAGGGAATAGATACAAGAAGGTGGTTGAGTGTAAATTATTATGTTATTTTGATGGAATTTTTCAGTCATAGTGAGGCTCCTTGTTCATTTGATATTGGGAGTAATTTCGATCTACTGGTTGAGTGTAAATTATTATGTTATTTTGATGGAATTTTTCAATCATAGTGAGTCCTCTTGTTCATGTGATATTGGGAGTAATTTCGATCTGCTATTCATAAGTTTTATTTTTTAATGCCAGGCATCATAGAGTTACATCCAGGAGCGGTTAATAGCATCCCCAGCAAATCACATGTAGAAATTGGTAGGTTTTATTTATTCTTTTTCAAAATGTTTTGGTAGATTTTCTTTGTTTATTTATTTTTAGGGAAACCTATCAAAATACCCACGAGAGATCCACTATTTAACATTTTACACATTTGTCACTATTTGAGCTAATGATCATGTGTCTTTTGACGGGTATTTTGAAATTTAATTAAACTACATGGTTAAGGTCTTAAATAGTTCATCTCTCATGGTTATTTTGATAGATTCCCCTTATTTTTTATGTAGCCCCATTTTGTAGATATGTTTGCCTATGTTAGTATTTTGATAGGCGTATCATCTTCTTTATTTGTGTTATCTTGATTAAATAGCTGTATTTTCTCCCGTCATTCAATGACATCTGCAATCCTTCTTTCTAATTTTTCCGTTTCATGTATATTGATGGTAAAGCATGGCACATGAATAATTACATATTTGCTCTCTAATTTCTGCTAAAAGTGATATAATATTTCCCTTAACAGATGCACGTGACATTGATGAAAAGAGGAGAAATATTGTGGTCAACAAAATTCGTCAATCGGCTATGGACATAGCTACAAAACGGGGAGTTGTTCTATCTGAGTTCAACGTAGTAAATCAAGATCCTCCAGCACAGTCTGATGAATCCATTATTAAAGCTATGGCAAATGCATCGGAACAATTGAATTTGAATTACAAACGGATGATCAGCAGGGCCTACCACGATTCATTGTTTATGGCTAGGTATATAATGATTCCTTCAATAAATGATTGAATGTTCGTATTATTTCCTCCCAATATTTGTTGCTAATTATTGATTTTTTATTTTATTTTATTTTATTCAATAGTCATCTGGCAGGAAGTTTTCAAATACATTAAATTTGAGGATTTGGGGAAATACTAGGACAGTGCATGGAAAACCTGCATATCCATCAGGTGCCTCAGAAACTTGGAAATATCAGGAGAGTACCTGGACCAGACATTGTTGAGACCACTATTTTACAATGGTCTATCATTTGAAAGACTAGACAATGAAGGTATTTTGGGGCATGTATGGAGGGACCAAATTTTGGGAACATGGCCATCTTTTTCCCTCCAACCATTTATTCATAGAAAATAGTCCTGCTTGGTCCACCCCTGTATTCATGTTTGACAGACTTTTCTATCCCTCTTGTCAAATAGGGACACAAAAACATCCATGAACCTGCAAAAAAATAAAAATATAAAATGAAATAAAAAGAGACATGTCTTTCCTTCATTTATCAGTAAGTCCCTTTTTAAATTGGTCTTGGTCAGTCTTCCAGTCATGGGCCTTGAACTCTAGACTGAGGACATGCAATTATTTGAAAATTCTGTGGGCCCGGGTACTTTCCTTGTATTTCAACTGGTTAGACGTAATGCATTTTCTATACAATATAAGAAGTGTTCCATGTACTGTCATGATATTTTAGTAGGAACTGGCACACTGAAAGATTCTTATATGTAGTATTGGTAATAGATTTTAATTATTAAAAGAAGAAAATGTTGCTATTGAATTATTGCATTGTTGTCTTTTGTCCTATAAGAAATCATGTCTATTACAAGCATCTAGTGCCTTTGCGGTACTTCATATTTTATTAACTACCAATAGATTCTAGTGCCTTTGTGGTACTTCATATTTTATTTATCACTGATAGAATATTAAGCCAAGTAATATGTAGAGATATGAAATCTATGGAAAATGAGTATTTATTTTTCTTGTTGAAATTTATTTTTGTAGAATGGTGTATTTTTCCTTGGTTGAATTCATGATTATGTTTTTGTGCAGAATATCTCCAATGGGCATGATCTTCATTCCTTGTTATAAAGGTTTGGATTACTCCTTTTTCGTTTTATATTATTTAGTTTCATTTTCAAGATTCTCATTTCTAGTATTCATGTGGTCTCTGATTGTTGCCATGCACTTTCAATAAGGTCCTACATACTAGGTTTGAATTCCATGCTTATCTTCCTCCCACCCAACCTCCCCCAACCCCTGCAAAAAAAAAAACCTCCACAAAAAAAAGGAAAAAGAAAAAAAAAAAGATCTTACAATTGATTTTAAAGAAAACTATGGCTTCAAAAAGTAAATTTTCCAAGGAGTTTCTGAGCGAACGCATTTATCACCTGGATTTCTTTTTAATTTAATTGCTTCATTTCTTTTAAACCAAATCTCATCTCCAGGAATGCACCTTGCTGCGATCACCATAGATTCAACTTGCGGTTGTATACATTGGATTAGCATTAGGGGTCCAAATTCCAACCTAACTTACCTGTTTTAATCTCTGTATAAAGCCTAACCACTTGAAAAATAGGCATTACTTTATGCAATATTTTCATTGACATTATTTTGGTTTGGATATTTTAGTATTCTTTTACTTCAAATTTTTCTTTTGGATTATTTGTTGAATTGAAAGTTTTTGACCAAGTGGTGATTGTTTGCGTACATTAGAAGGCATATGACATTTTTGAATTCCATAGAGAGGCAAGTTATTGTGCAACTCTTGCAACATTACACCTGTCCTCGAGCTCACTTTTGGCCAACACAATATTTTGTCATTTGCTATGGAAAAAATGCAAAATATCCCTCTGTGTAAGAGAATTTTGGTTGGATTGTTACAAATGTTGTGCGGTAACAGTTGACTTGAGCACGTACCTGAGGAGCCTCTTTGCATTTTCCCCAGGCAAATGACAAAAACTCTCCTGCCCATGGACAATTAGCAGTTGCACTAGAGGACTGTTACAGCTTACCTCCACCCACCCTCCCATTTTCAGGATGGAATTCATTACTTCTAGGACAGTTCTGAAACCATGTTCAAATTTAGTGCTAGATTTCTTTAGTGGAAGCTGTTTTAAAAGCTCCAAGGGTGGTATAATGTATGTTGAGAGATGGATATAATGAATTGGTGTTTGTTGGCACTACAGTGTGATTTCTCAATCTTTTGTGGTTTTGCAGGTTACAGCCATACGCCTGAAGAGTATGCCGCCATCGATGACATAGCAAATGGGGTGAAGGTATTGGCTTTAACCCTCTCCAAGTTGTCTCTAAGCTAAGATGAATTGTCGTCACCTTGCCAGTAGACAGTAGTAGTGAAATACTTCACATTTTCAACGTATATGAATACTAGTACATTATTTGTAGATTGTTCAATAATTGGCAGCTTTTTATGGGTTTGTATATTATCTTTGCCCATATATAGTCAAAGATTACTGGGGTACTCTCTCTCACACACACACCAGCGGCCCACTTACTCATCTGGTCATAATTGTGTGCATGGTTTGCGGATAATTCTGAGGTTATGTATAGTGCATCTTGTGTAAAGAGGCATGCTCCTTGTATTGTCGGATAGTGTATCGTCTACAAACAGATACATCCGCTCACTTTATCACTTGCACATGATCCTACATAATGAGTCAGGGACTATGTACAATGAGCACAGTCAATTATTGGATAAAAGCTCCACAGCCTTCCAAGCCATTAGATGTGAAAAGTGGTGGCTGGAATGTGTCATTCTTCGTGGCTGGAGTGTTTCATTCCTATGCTAGAAGTCCGTTAATTTTTTGGCAGATTTTGAGTGGAGGAATGAGATGATCCAGCTGTGGCTTTTCACATCTAATGGTATGAGGGGGTGTAAAATTACAGAGCCAGAGAAAATATGTTGGATACGGTGTTATCCAAAATCACTCAAAATAAGGAAATCTCATATTATGTGGGATTGTGATTGATATTGAAATTGATATGGATGAGTTGATTGATATTGAAATTGATACGGAAGAAAATAGAAATCCAAAAAGATTAGGACAATTGGATATATCTCTTGGTCTTTTAGAATGTATATCAATGGGAATTTTCCTATTTATTGGGGATTTCTAATGATATATAAAGGGAAATGATGGGGTAGGTCGGCTCGCCTTCCGTGTTGAAATAGGCTCAACAGTCAGGATTTTGTAGGAGGCCATCTACAACTGTGGTGGAAGCTTGAGAAATTCGTGGTTTTGAAAATGTAAACCTAACAATTGACAAAACTGACATCAAGATTCCTCTCTCTCTAAACCGTCTATCAAATCTCTATAAACCCATTTGTCTCTCTCTTCCATACTTCATTTCTCTCTCTCCAACCCTATGCCATATCTCCTATTCATCTGCAACAAAAATTCCTACCCATCTTAAACCTATCCACAACTCTCTTTCTTCCTCACTTCATCTCTCTATCTCTATCTAACCCTCTGCATGTGGTGCACCCATCGTCATAGAAAATTAATTGTTATTTGTGAGTGTGGCAGAGAGAGACTATTTGCGGAGGCTTGGATAGAGAGAGAGGCAAAGTGAGGAAGAGCAAGATGTGGATACGCATGAGATGAGTGGGAATATTTGTTGTGGATGGGTAGGTGGTATGGCGGAGGGTTAGAAAGAGAGAGTGACAAAGTGAGGACAAGAGAGATACTGATAGGTTCAGAGAGATACGGCAGCGGGTTTAGAGAGAGACGAAGTGAGAAAGAGAGATGGATGGGTTTAGAGAGAGGAATCTTGATGCCAGTTTTGTTAGTTGTTAGGTTTACCTATTCAAAACCATGAATTTCTCAAGCTTCCACTACAGTCGTAGATGACCGCCTTCAAAATCCTGGCTGTTGGGCCTATTTCAACACGGTAGGCGAGCCGGCCTACCTCATCCTTTTCCATATATAAATATAAGAGAGAAAAGAATATGTTTACTATATTTGGATTACCATATGAGAGAGGTGTCTTCGTTTAGAGAGGGAAGCATACCTCTTGTGCATGAAATGCAATGCCTCCACTTAAATAGAATAGAGTTTTTTCTGTAAAGAGAAATGCTGTGATGGTGCCTTTTATGTAGTGAGAGGCTAATTTTTTGTAGAGAAGCAGTTTCAATAGAGATTTTAAGTGGTTTTTCTTTTTAGTGAGAAAAATTCTCGGTTGTTCTTAAACAGTGTTTAACTGTAGAATTGAGATGAGTCTCTTCCTAGACGGTGGTGTGGTTGTGGAATAGAGATAGGAGATGGTGGGCAATGCCAATCAAGAGAATGAGTCTAAAAGGGTTTGCTCGATTAGGTTTGGTTAAAGAGATAACACTGAGTCCCAAAATCTATAATGTAATTTTTATTGGCATAATATTAACATAATGTATTTCAATTTGTCATGTCCGTAGATGTAGACCTTATGGGGTGAACGATATAAACTTGTATTGTTGTGGCATGTGTGTTTCATGTTTTATTTCTTGTATTATGGTTGGTACTCTTGTCTATTTTGTTTTTAGCTAGATAAGTAAGCCTTAACCTTATACAAACTGCATCCATAAAGAAAACCTCACAAGATATGGACAAACACGTCCCTGCGCCCATGCGTGAACAGAAGAGCAGAATTCAGTTCATCTCTCTCCAAAAACACACACGCAGTCAAATGAAATTAATCAGGCCTTACTTTACGTCAAGACGGGGAATGGTTATTAATAACGTAAAGAGTCATTAAGCAGGTGAACACATCTCTCTCTCTCTCTCTCTCTCTAAAAGCGGGTTACTGACTTACTGCTGTACTTGTTAAGCCAAATACCACTTACCTTAATAATCTAGAAAATAGCTAAAAAGACTGATTTTTAGGAAATCTTAAAGAGAGACGAGAATCCATATATAACGTTCAAAGAAACTTTTGGAAGTTGGAAATAGCTCAGCCTCTTTTGTCATTGTGCCATCCGATAACAAATATGGTGGGGATTTCTTAAAGGGTGCGGTTTGAATGGAGCCTAGGCTCTACCAATCAAATTAGAGTCTACTTTGATAAATGTGGTTTCAATACCGAAAATCTTTGTGATAGCTTTAAAATATATTTTTATTTTTATTTATAAAGTTTAAAGCTTAAAAAATAGTGTAGATCGATAGATATATGAAAACTTGAAAATCTTGAAAATTGACGGTCAAAAAATGCGTTACAAAATACACTATTTCTAAAACTTGAAATCCATTTTTTTCTCATGTTTATGCATTTTGATGTCGAGATGAGCAATTTGAGGATATTTGGGCATCAAAACAACTCTTCTAGTGAAATTTTTGAGATCGGCTCAAATTTGATTGTTTAGAGCCTTGGCTCTATATAATTTTTTCCCTCTCTTAAGAAGGGCGTGGTTTACATGCCCACATATTGTAGAAGTGCGGGCTTGGTAATATCTTTTAAATATAATTTGATTCTAATTTTTAAATAATATATAATCTTTAACATGGAGATCATGACTATTGTTTTTTTTTTTTTAAGCGTACAAATAATAGTTATATTATGAAAACATTTAGACCGTTAGTTACAATTGTTTTTAGATGGACCACCTATTTAAATCTATTTTTAAGATGAATGCTTTATACCTTTAGACGACATATTGTAGAAATGTAGTCCAACCCACGTGAAACAATTTTCCTTCTTAAAATGCTCCTTATTTCACCTCTAATAAACTTGCTGCAAATCTTTGTTCTCCTCGCTTTACGGTTATTTAGTCCAAGACAAAAAAAATTTCACAAATGATTTTTAAACAATGTTTGAAAAGTCGGCTGACGTTTTTAAAATCGACTGACTAACTCGAAATTGGGCATTGGCCGAGCCTAAGTAGGGTCGATTCCAGAAGCCATGTATCGTGGCATTAACTAATCGGACCATTTATTGTACCAATTGATCAATTTACACACTAGTAAGCACTAATTTGGTCAATTTGCACACTAATAAGCGATTTATTGAAAAAACAGGTAGATTTTTATACTGTTGTAGAGCAAACATGTAAAGAGCTTTTTGCCGGTCGAATATAGTACTTTGTGGATTTTTACTTGTTTTGTAGATTTCTACTGTCTTGTTTAAGTGTTTGAGTTCTATTATTGAGGTTTTTTCTCTTCCTAATATTGAGAAGAGATGTGAAGAGAATATTCATCATATAGATAAGATTTTTATGCCCTTAGGGACGTCTATAAAATTGACTTTTGTGTTGTAGGGGGCTCAATCAGACCCCAAAGCTTTGTGCATTCCAGCATCATACCATCTATCTCTCTCTCTCTCCGCACAATGAGTCTCTCTATACCCCAATCTCTCTCTTTCTCTCTTGGGTTGGGGTAATGTTGCCCAACGTCTCTCTCTCGGGTCTATGTGCCCAACCTCTTTCTCTGTGTTGGGGCAGGGCTCGCACCAACCTCTCTTTCGCTCTGCTCTGTTGGGGTAGGGGCCTGCCCCCATCACTCTCTCTCTTGGGTTGGGGCAAGGGCCAGCCCCAACCACTCTCTCTCTTGGGTTGGGGGTATATGCCTCAATCATTGATCTTACTATTTTTTAACAGTATTTTTTTATTATTGTGCGATATGTAGTCTCCTTCAATTATAGTTCACCGCCTAAAATTTTTGTCAAAAATTATGCCTATAATATATTTTTGTTTCACTTATTTTATGTGACTATAAAAAAAGACAATATATGTAAAATTTAAACATTGTTATAATCTTCTTATAATTTTTTTGAGATTTTTTACCTTCATTGTTTTCAATATAAAACTCAGCACTAATCAGCCGATTACGTCGGAGTTGGTCCGACTAATCGGCTCAGGCCATGACTGATTATTCGTGCCGACCCGTTCTTTCCAACGCTGATTTTAAACCGAGCTGAACTAGATCCCATCTCTTTGTACCGCGCCCATGCTAATGCTAATGCTGTTGTTTTTTCCCAAGTTTTCCTCTGCCAATTATCTCTGTTTGACATTTTTCAAAACTTACCGGGATGTGCGCACACTTGCAAGAATGACCAGCCCATGTCGCAAAACTTGCCACTAGTGTTTAGGTTGTCGTCCGAGGTATTTGGACTCGGCTATTGTCGAGTGAGTACTTAAATAAAGCAATATATAAAAAAATTAATAAAAATTATATTCAATGCTAAAATCAATATTTCCACTTGTAATTCTAATATTTATTATGATGTTTTGTGAGCGTTTCGTATTTTTATAATCTCTTTTTTTAATGGATTTTTTTAAAATGTTTCGAACTATAAATCAATTTTCTCCAAAAATTTATGAAAATACCCAAAAAATAATAATCTATTTGATAGTGGAATTTTTTTTTATATAAAGTTGACAAATTAAAATATAGAATTAATGTGCACCTCCAAGATCTTTCAAAAAATGTTATTTTGATGTTGGAAAAGCATCCGATTCTTCATCTCAACCTTGAGATGTATATATATATATATAGTGAAAATCAGAGATTTCAAGATTTAAAAATAAGGCAGTTGCAATATATGCTTGCAATCTTATACAAACCACACCCTTCAACAATATACCGTTTTAGAATAATTCCAGGTCAATATTATCGTTATCAGTATTTTAAAATTAAATCAAAAGATAGGGATAAAATGTTAGATTGTTAATATCTCATAAGTAATTTGGCAAAACTTTGTTTTTGTTTTTTTGAAATTTTTTTGAAATTTGTTTCCCATCTTATTTGGGCTTTTAAATGTCTTTAATTTGCTTTGATTTTATTTTATAGGATTGTCTATAAAAATACCATTTATTTTTTTATGCATGGAAGTCACCATCATTCTTGTCCCTTAAATTTCAAAATGGGTGGTCGTAAGAATATTATTGAATAGACACAAAGTTTCAAAAACAAAATTCTCGGACTTTGTAACTCACCCCAAGCCATCAACATTCACATGTAATGATTGTGACTTCCATAAATAAAAGATAAACAGCGTCTTTATAGACAATCCCTTATTTTATTTTAACAACTTGTTTTTAACTCGGTCCCATCTGAGTTACTCTGCTTGGGCAGGGCCGAGTTCCTGAATATTGCATGCTACAAAGAGAGAGAAGAGAGATAGAGAGAGAGAGAGGGGATTAGGGTCGGTTTGAAGATGGTTATTCGAATTGGCCCCAACTATGACAATCATGTTCTCCACAGGGGCTTTTCTTTCGCTTATTTAAAACAGAATGTGTGTGAGAGAGAGATGGCCGACGAATTTTTACACTTGCATTTCCCAACTGTAAAAGCAACAGGTATTCAGTCAAATCCTCAACTCAATGCGAAGCCTCATCTCAGCTCTCTGACTTCAGTCAATATTAGTGAAAAGAAGACAAAACAAAGCCCCCAAATCAGAGTGACCATCTAACAAGAATGCTCAACTAAAGACTGATCCCTCTCCAACTCTGATCATCGAAAGCACTGAATCCATGTGTGCCCACAACACCAATCATGAAACCCATCCATCCGCATCCAATTCATTCATTTTCATAGGCCTCCGGTGACTCTGGGGAAGCAGAACCCTGACCGAGCACTTGATTGAAATTCTCAGTCTTGCCCAACACCACCTCCATCTGTGAAAGCAGATAAAACCCACAAAAAGAAGGCAGTCAAACACTGTTAAGCCTAGAAACCATACAAGCTGAAGGCCTCAAATGTTCAAAATCGGTGCTAGCTGTGTGTGTGTGTGTGAGAGAGAGAGAGAGACTAATTCAGGGAATAAATTTCTTTAGGAAATCTGCACTCACTCTGGCTTTCTGAATAACACGGCCCGTGTTTCCATCTATCATGCTAATACGTGATGTCAAGATTTCTGTGGAAAGCAGGGGCATTCCTTACGCATCAGAGAGCTAATCAGTTGATATTTCAGTGTGTGTGTGTGAGAGAGAGAGAAATGAATACTCTTCTGAAATGCAAAGCCATTGTTTGTCAGAATCTCGGAAATCATCACAACTGAAGTAATAGCTGCATATTCCAAATGGAATTATAATGATTACCACATTATACCGCAAGTAAACAGCAATAAGGTATTCAGAAATTTCGGAATAATGAAATAAATGGCCATTTTTAAGCCTCTGATTTCACATGAACATCATTTATGACACCATTGATGATTCTATACATGCATTCACTGCCAACTGAAAGGGAATTCAGGCTTTCACTCTTCAGAAAGATCTCTTAGCCTCCATTAAACATCCAGCATGGCTTTAATGATGGGCAACCTAAGCAAAATTGACAGTTCTTTACTAAGCAATATGGTGCTGGGTAACATTTTCAGTAGAACAACAGTGAACTACTGCCTATGAAGCATGCTCACTATATCTAACAACATGATAGGGGAAATGCACACCAATCAGTAAAGAAACTCAATCACGGGTTTTTCTTTGATTAAAGTCACTGTTAATTGTTCTCAAGATGACTCTGATATAATTATTTAAATCCAAAATCAGAAGTTTAAGCAACTAAAGGGAACTGATATCAGTAAAAATAACTGAGAAGCCAGTCAGTGATACAATCTCTTCCAACAAAGGAAAGATTTCCCATAAAAAACAGCTCACATAAAATATGCCGGTCCCTGACTAATACACAGCGGTGCATCATGGCTGATGGCTGTTGATGCAATACAATGCATAGCTTGGCATTCACCCAAAAGCATGCTTTAACAAAATATATGCTAATAGTGTGGAGACCTCTCTCTCTCACACACACACACATACACCCACACCCACCCACACACACCCACACCCCCACCCACCAACCCACCCTGACTAATACACAGGGGTACATCATGGCTGATGTTTATTGATGCAAGCAAATACAACGCATAGCTTGGCAATCACCCAAAAGCATACTTTTGTCAAAATAAATTCTAAGTGTAGAGTCTCTCTCTCTCTCTCTCTCTCTCTCTCTCTCGCTCTAGCGAGCGAGCGAGCACGCGACTGGCGTGGATTCAGCGAGACGTAGTTTATACTTGTGAGAATTTGGAGTGTGTTCTTGCTGAGTTCTTTGGAGTTTTTAGCTCTCAACAAATGATTGCAAGTTAAAAACGTGGGGGACCTATCCACTGGAAGCAAATGTCGAAACTATTCATGGTTGGAAACACAAAGGAGACCTTATCATGCCTCCTATGAACCTAAATTGTGTAGTGAGATAAATAGGTCAATCTTTCTCTTACAAAAACATGTATAGCTGGAAAATTCTTTCATGTATGGTAAAGAAACAAAGTGGGTAACAGAACATGGTTATGAATGAGATGTGATGCACAAGAATAAAAAAAAACAAAAAGTCTCCGATTAAAAAGAAAAATATACAAAAACAATGTATCAGATGGAACCAAGAAACAAAATCAGATTAAGAGAAATAAAAACGTAGGCATAAAAGAACATTCAATATTGCACATGATTCTGCATGATGAAGCACTGATTCTTTCGATTTGGGACAACTATAAAAAAAAATATAAAAGTTTTGCATAAGAATCCATTCATGCAGGTACCAAGCTTAGAAAACACAGGAAAATGCAAACAATGACTGATTCAGTACAAGACCATACCAGTTCCAAGGCCAGAGATAACAACTTCATCATTGTGTTTCAAGCGCCTCTGCAACCGATTCAAAGCAAAATCAGTGCCATGTAAATCAAGAACAGGGCAATACAATTTGAGACACAATCAAGAACTCATCAACAAAAAAGCCATTGAGTAACCATAGAAGAACTTAAAAACCTTGAAATTTAAAGATTAAGCATAAAGTGGAAAAAAATTGAACAGATTGAAAAAGAACACAGCAAAAAGATGCCAAGGCTGAATCAGAGCCATTCAACTACAAGAAAACTCTGGCAATTAAATCAAAACCAAAAGACATAGAAATCTGAATCCCATATAACAAATGCAAACGAATTGGCCCATTTCTTAAAGAACAGCGCAAGAGATTATAAAACGAAAGCAGGTCAATTCTCCGACTAAAAAGCCAACAGGCAAATGAACCAAAACCGAAAAACAGAGAAAATCTAAACCCTTGACCTCAACTTGAAAGAAATTGGCCCGGTTGAAAACGAACAGAGCAATTACATCCCAAACTCAAGAATCAAAACGACGCAGCTTAACTGCCGGAAACCAACCAAGCAATCAAAAAAGAAACAGGAAACCCTAGAGAATCTAAGCCCTAGAAAGCGCCACTTAAACTAACCTTAGCCACGTCGACATAGAATAAGATGGGCTTGTTGCGGGCAACCGTAATCTGGTTCCTTCGGTTGTCGCAATTGGACTCACGCTTTGCAGCTGAAGCAGGAACTGCACCACCACCCGCCATTTCTCCCAAGGAACAACAGCAGAGAAGACGAAATCCTGGCACAACAAGAACAAGAATCAGAATCAAAGCGAGAAAAGAGAAGAATCCAAGCAAGAAGAAGAAGGCCTGCAACTAACTTTAGCGTTAGGGTTATGGTCTGTGGAGTGAGGGCGGGAAAAAAAGTGATAGGACACAATGGCGAGAAGGGGGCGTGCACAAGATTTATATATAGGTTTTGGCGGGACTTCTGCCACGTTGAAGAGTCGACACGTGTGATGGGGCTGTTTGGGTGGTTATTCGAATTTATTAGTCCGTTTTATTGGTCTTCGAGACCATGAGGCCAAAGTGTTCAGAGGTGAATATGTCGAGGCCGTTTCTGAGTGTGCGGCTAGAGTGAGTTGTGCGGCTAGGCTACAGAGACATCTCTTACCACAATTCTATAGAGAGAGCGAGGGCGCCCGCATCTTGTTACAATTCACAAATGTCCACTTTTTGGTGAGGGAAAGAGTTTATATACAATCAAATTAAGGCACACCTCAAAAATTCACTAGAAGAGGTTTTTTTTCCATGCCCAAAATTCTTCAAATCGATCATTTCGACCTCAAGATGTATAGCCATGAGAAAAAAATAGATTTCAAGTTTTGGAAATAGTGCATCTTGCAAGAAAGATTAAAAAGTGTTCTTCCTATTGTTATATGAAAAAAAGCTTATGATAGAGTGAAATAGGGTATTCTTGATAAAATATTGTACATAATGGGTTTTGATTTGAATCGGAGGAAATGGGTTTCTTTCATCGGCTCACTTTTAAATTCTGGTGAATGGTAGTTCCAAAGGCTTCTTTAAAGCCACAAGAGGAATTAGACAAGGGGATCCTCTCTCCCATTTCTTATTCACTCTGGTTGACGAGGCCTGTAGTTTGATGGTAAATAATGTAGTTCTTTGTTGCGGTTTTTCTGGATTTTGAATTAATAATATGAGGCCTACTATTTCTCATTTACAATATGCCGATGACACCATATTGTTTTGTGGGGCAGATGTTGATTAGATAATCATTATTAGAAGGTTCCTCAGATGTTGCGAATTTGCTTTGGGCCCCAAAGTAAATTTTGAGAAAACCTCAATAATTAGTGTGGGATGCCAAAATATAGTGATAAATTATCCTGTTGAGATTTTGAAGTGTAAACTGGAATACTTTCCAATTACATATTTGGGAATGCCTTTATCTAATCACAGGCAACTAAAGGATGTATGGGATCCAATTATCAAAAGGACAAATCAGAAGTTAGACATTTGGAAATCAAAACACTTATCTCTTGGAGGTAGAGTTGATAAAGTCATCCCTATCTAATCTGCCTATCTTTCCTGATGTCTTTATTAAATATGTTAGGTGATGGTATTAAACAAGTGAAGAAATTAATGAGGAACTTCTTTATGGGGCTTTGATAAAGATGTGGAGAAATACCATCTGGTATGTTGGGATAGAGTATGCACTCCAAAAATTGAAGGGGGATTGGGAATTAGGAAATTAAAATATTTAAATCAAGCTCTGTTTGCATAATGGTGGTGGAGAACAATGCAAAATGAAAAGTGTTTGTGGCTGGATGTACTTCAAGGCCCTTGTAATCTTATTATTTCACGTGGACAAAAGGAAGAACAATCTTATATATGGAGAGCAATCTCTTATATGCGCTGTTTTATTCTCTCTTATTCACGATGGGTAGTTGGAAAGGAGATTCAATATTGTTTTGGCATTCAAAATGGGCTTCAGATTCATCTCCTACGGCTGAGGTTAATGAGATGGGTCTTAAAGAAGGGTTATCTGTGCTTTGGAATATTAATTGTCTCTATGGCCGTATTCCTAATATTGCGGTGAACCAATATATTGATATACTCAAGACATTGGATGATTTTTATCTTTCACATAATGCAAAAGATACGGTTGTTTGGGATTTGGAAATAAGTGGCAATTTGTCAATGAAATTTGGGTATGCTTTATTATTCCATGACAGGTTTAGATGCAACCACTCTCTTCTGAAGGACATCTGGAAATGGCATTTACCCCATTAGGTATAAGTTTTTATTTGGATTTTCATAGAGGTCACAAATAATCTTAATTATTAAATAAAAAATTGGGTGGTTATATTTATTTGAGTGACTATACTTGAAGTTTTAAAATAACTTTTTTGAATTTTGTGATATATCAAAACTTTCAGATTTCATATCTAGATGCTACTGGTAATTGTGACCACCTTGTATCAAAGATAAACTGATTTTATAATATATAATCTCATCAATAAACTATTTGTTCTAAATAAGATTAAATTTTACAAACTCACATTTATAAAAGTAAAACTTTATAAAACTTGCAAAACTTATATCATTGAAGTTAGGCGCACATCAAGAATTGATTAAAAATGTTGTCCTAATGCTAGAAATCTATCAGTTTGACCATCTTGACCTTGGGATACATAGACATTAAAAAACGAAGGATTCAAATCTTGGACATAGTGTACTTGTAACACATTATTTAGACTTTCTATTTTCAAGATTTTTAAGTGTTTATAGATATGCTCGATCTACATTATCTTTGGAGCTTTGAATTTCATAATCAGTTTTGAAATAAAATTTTAGACCATCACAATGGTTCTCGATGCCAAAATTGCATCTTTAGACGCAATTTAGAGGTGCGCCTTACTTTAATTGTTTAAGGTCGATGTCCTATACAAACCATACCCTCTTTACTATCCCGATATTAATCAAAAGCCAAAAGGATCCAGAAAGGAATGCGTAGACCATGCTCTTGTGGATCCGAAAATACATAATCGTAAGCTTGGTGACAATTACCTTGGGATATTAGAGTTTTTTTTCTTACATGTTATTGCAATAATGTTTCTTATTGAGAATTTATCATACAATTATTGAGACTTCAATATATTAAATAATAAATTGTTTACATAAATTTAATTGCATTGAGATATGAATATAAAATAGATAAGTAAAAACATTTACATGTTCTAAAATCTATAAATGTCAAAGTTAGACAATAGTTGCTAATGTGTAAGTAGAATGCTATCCATCTTGCTAGCTTTCACTAACATATTTACTATCGACTCTTTGTGCTTTGGTTATTGCTCAGTCATCATCATCATAGTCTTTTTTCAATTAATTGAGGTCGTTCATGATAAGTTTTGATAAAATTTTATGTTGGCTATCTACTTAACACAACCCAATCTCTTTAGCATGTTATTGCTTAGTATGTAACTTATTAGATTTACTTGCATCTAAGTAAGATGTTTCTTTTTATATTCAAATTACTGATTTTTTTTATGCCAAATTCATACATTTTATTATTAAAAAAAATCGTGATATAAATGAGATGTCTCAAAACATCACAATAAAGTGATGTTGTCAAAAATATTTTATATGGAGTACGACTTATCATGATAAAATAAAAATAAAATGTATTTATCGAAGGCAATTGCAGTGAGACCCTAAGACATTAAACTAACCCTTTCGTTGCATACCCCGTCTTTCTTCGAATCACAAAAAAGTACCATGCACGACTGACAAGGCATCTGCCGTCCTTTGTGAATTATGAACGGTGGATATCACGCATGATTCCCAATTACGGCCATTCACCTGGATGTGATTGATCTGCTCTGCCTATTGATGAGAACTAACGGTGGATGCCCAACTTTAGACCCTACACACACTATGGTTATATGTGGTCTCATCCCCAGCTAAAACAAACCCCACGATTCACATTGCTCTGAGTAGGGCAAGGTTTTAAAAAATAGATCTGGTGACCTGGCTAGGGCATCCAGATTTTTTATTCAATTTGATGGATCAGCAATCTAATTTCTTGAATCGATCATTAAAAAAAAATTAACAAAAATTGGAAAAAATAGCCAAGCCAGTTCTGACACGTTTTCTAACAAAAGCAACCGTACCAGCCGTTTCGTGGGGTTCACAACCTGGTCCTGATATTTCACAAGAACTGGTTTATCCCCGTCGATTCCTTATTTGGATCGGTTGGTTCCAATCTAGATCAACGATTTAAAAACCTTGTAATAGAGTACAAACTACGAATTCTCTATAGTCCACAACAAGTCAAAAAGTTAGCAATTTGTGATGCCATGTTAGGAAAAGCAGGTTATGTATACATGTGACCATCATGTATGGAATACCGTCCAACATGGGAGCATACACCATCTGTTATACAAGAGAAACAATGGGGATGAACCATTATTCTTTATTTTGAGTAATTTACTCACATACCCTCCCAAAGTGCCATTATCTAAACAAAATCAATTTTTTATATGTTATTACGCTCATAACCTTTTTTTTGTTGATCGGAATGTCAATATTTTGGATCTTGAAGATCCGTAATTTAGATCTGAAGCTTAATAAAGCTTGGTCCTTATTGTAGGTGCGTTTGAGGGCCAAACATACTTGAGATTTTGAAAACTCAAAGTTTTTCGATTGATGCACAAGGAACAAGATCCATTAAAAACCTTATGATTTTGAGAATCTGAAGTTTGTTGGCTGGCATTAGAAACAACGGATTTTCAAGTTTTTTCTGTTAATGCACAGCAAGGTATATCAACATAATATTAAGCTTACCGGTAGAGACCTACAAAATCTTAAGTTCCTTAAGTTCCAAAGTTAAGGCATTTTGTGGGGGCGGGGGGCGGGTGGGGTGTGGAATGTAAAGAAAGGGTATGAATACTATTAACATGTAAATACCATTAATACTATTTATGAATACTATTAAAGAAAGGGTATAAATGCTATTAAAGAAAGGGTATGAATACTATTTATGAATACTATTAAAGAAAGGGTATGAATACTATTTATGAATGCTATTAAATAAAGGGTATGAATACTATTAAAGAAAGGGTATGAATACTATTAACATGTAAAGAAAGGGTATGAACACTATTAACATGTAAAGAAAGGGTATGAACATGTAAAGAAAGGGTATGAACACTATTAACATGTAAAGAAAGGGTATGAACACTATTAACATGTAAAGAAAGGGTATGAATACTATTAGCATGAAAAGAAAGGGTATGAATACTATTTATGAATACTATTAAAGAAAGGTATGAATACTATGAACATGTAAAGAAAGGGTATGAATACTATTAACATGAATACTATTTATGGGGTAAATACTATTAACATGTAAA